GCAATGTAAATTGTTGGTGTACAACTCACATAAGAGTGCCATGCCTTGAGGTGGCAGGTGAGCTTACTCTTGAATGGGCCATTGGAGTGATACTATTTTTTTTAAATGTGCATAGGGTTTTGAGAGTGCACAAGTAACTATTTTCTTTGGTTTTTTTCCTTTATTGTATTGTACTGTTGTCAGCTGCTGCCCAAGAGTAGTGGGAGTTTGAGCACAAGGTTTAATTTTTATGTTTATATTCCTAATGCTATAGTGTTCCTATATTCTTTTATTAACACTATATAAGAGGAAAAAAAAAATTTTATGAAAAAGTTAGTTATTTTGCTGATTGAAGAAAGATGCATATACTTGGTTATCTGTCAAGTCTGTCAAAAGTTAACTCATAACATTGTTATTTTAAAGTGGTTTATTTTATCTAGTGGAAGGCATACACATTTTAATTAAATTGTTTCTGATTTAAATACATTTTAGGACAGCATCCTTATGTCTAGCTGTGATGATCAAAGTATTTCAGAAGAAAACCTCAACAACATGGCTGAGTTTATTTGTCATAGTTCGCACAGTTTTAACAAAGATATTGAGGACGTGAGCAATTATTTAGCAGACATACATAATAGGCTTCAAGAGATGTTGTTCTGCAAGAAATCAGCATGGCATGAACAGGTATCAAAAAATAAAATGCATTTTAAGTGGTTTGTTTTTATGACCAAAATTTAACTTGTACCTTTCTCTGAGTAGTGTTGCTAATGGTGCTGTTTGTGTTGGTAAGTGTTTTATTTTTGATCACGTTACCTTATGAATCTGCAAATATGTGACTTATCATGCATTTTTACAGTTTCCTTTAATCCACAATAAGTTGATGTATGCTATTGTTTGATCTGTAGCCCAGTATGAGCCTGTTGGCTAAATGGTAGACTACAAGTGTCATATAAAAGTTAGGCAGATAAATAATATTTGTGTAGGAATGAGGCACACAAACTGAACAGTTGTATTGCTATGTTACAAAGCCAACAGAAAGAGCCAAGCTAAAGTGTTAATTCCCTGGGATATGAATAGTGAGGCATTCTCACTTGAGGCATGGGATTGTGAATCAGTGAAACACATTGGGAACCAGGATTGGATAAAGAAAAGTTTTGTTTCGTTTTTTAATTTTTTTTATAATGGTAAACTGAAGAAAAATTCTGACTTTTAAAGTAACATTTAAAGCACCATAACCACTAGAGCTATTATTGTATATATTTTAAAGGGGCACTTTAAACATTATAACCACTACAGCCTCGAATCCTTATGCCTTCCTCAGACTAAATACCCAAACCATTTAGGAAAGTTTTGATATAAACCAGTACTCCTTTCAACACTCCTGGACCACCCCAAAGTCACTTCTGTTATACTGCAATAACAATGCCCTTCTAACCAGGTTGGACATAATTTACATTTAGAATATGAAAAGGTGAATTCTGAAATGCAGCTGAGATAGGGCAGTCCCTGCGCATTGAGAACACCACTGATTTAGATCAAACCAAGACGGCACAGAGACATCCTAGACAAAATAACCACTACAACCCATAACCTACAATACGTGACCGATTTGATTGTTCACAAAAAAATATAGTCATCTCCCTGACGTATTGTTGCAGATTAGAATAAAAAAGAGATCTGTTAAAATGTATCTCTACAACGAAATGAATCTTGTTTTATACTTCACAGATTAAGGAACTTAAAAGGCTTGACGAGAAAGAAGTCTATTTCACTGCGAGAAAGAATAAACAAGAAGCACTAAAGAAAATACAAGATTTCAAACATAGTTTCCAGTCAAAAGAGACTCATGGTCAATTTAGTTTGATTTTTAACAATTGTTTTGAGATGCAGAAAATTTCTGTTTACACAAACCCTAAATCTATGCTTGCTGCAGACCTTGTAATACAACTAAAGAGAGCCGAATGTGAGTTAGAAACTGAAATACAGATGCTGCAAGAAGAATGCAGGTTTAGGTTGGATAATGTTATTGAACAGTATGAAGGAGTTATTTGTATCCCCCCTTCAAAAGTTCATGTCTAATATGTATAGTACATATTTAAAGGGACTCTCCAGTGCCAGGAAAACAATCCTTTTTCCTGGCACTGCGGGTCCCCTCTCCCTCCCATCCCCGCTTGCTGAAGGGGTGAAAACCCCTTCAGTCACTTAATAGAGGCAGCAACATGTCCTGCGTCGCTGCTTCTTCCGCCGCCGCTCCTCCCCTTCATCACGTCAGCCATCGGGGGAGACTGATCACACCCGCTGGCTGGGAAGACCTAATGCGCATGCGCAGGGAAGGGGGGGCTCTGTGTTTTTAGTCTAATTCCACGGTCTGTCTGTTTTTCCTTTTCCAATGCAATATAGAGCAATGGGAAAAACTGTATTTCCTTTATACAGTTTGAAACTGATTGTCTTGCTATTAAAGGTGAGCTGCCACTTTTCTGGAAATTGCACAAATAAATTTAAAACAAAAATGAACTAAAAGTCACCTATAATATTTTCAAAATTTTCTAATGTAATGTTCCATTTTCTTTGAAATACATATAGATTTAAGACATAACTATGCAAGTCAATCTGGTTACATTCTGAATTGGAGGAGAAGCCAAATCCTAGGAGGAGGCGGAGATTTCATGTTCGGAAAAATGTTGCAACCTTATGCAATAAACATGAAAACCAGTGGACCACTCTGTCGGTGACTCCTCCCTTTTTACCTATCTTCAGATGGACACTATGGATGTCTACATGTAACACATTTTCCATACCTCACCAACACATTTGTGAAATATGGGGAAAAGTAAATGTAATAAAAGTTGTTTCCATTCATATTTCAATCCACTACAATTCAAAATTTAGTGAATAGTCCTGTTTAACATACAATCAGAAAATATTAATTTCCATTAATGGTCCATATTTATTAACTGTTTTAACTATGTCTGCTGAATACATGCATTGTTACATTCCATTTCCAGCATTAATTGTGATCTTCTTGTACAGCAGTAAATATTGAAACCATCCTTATAAATCTTAGGGAAATATGCAGAAGGTGAAAATGTAGAAAAAAAGTAATGTAAACTGGACAGGGTATGATTTTCCACTCCCTGGGAGTATATAATATTACCTGGATAATATTTTAACCTTAACCAGGGGTAGGAGGTGTAAGCTCACACCAACTTAATTAAATTTGATTGGGGGGAGGGGGGAAGCAAAAATGTGTACTGGAATAGTACATAATTCTTGTTAAAATATATACCTTTTTTTTCTTCAAATATATATTTTATATTTTACATCAATATATTCAGTAACTTATAATTAATACATAAAAAAATTAAGTGTGTGTGTACAGGGCCGGTGCAAGGATTTTTGCCGCCCTAGGCAAAAGTAAAGTTTGCCGCTCCCCCCATGTGACATCACAATGCCCAACCCATATGATCTGCCATGTTAACTAACGCCAGTGATGCAGTGCCGCCGTGTTTACATTAAAAGGCCTGCAGGGACAGGCTATAGACACCAGAACCAATACAGTGGTTCTGGGGACTATAGTGTTTCTTTAATGTGAGGTAAATTAGAGATAAGTGCCATGAATAATATACTAGATTGCCTACTTACAACCAGATGAGGATGATGATGGGCTGTAGCTGCAGTCTGGCTCCACTGGTCTGGTGTAGAACAGGCTCTCTGGAGGCGGTTTGTTACTGTGGTCACAAAAATCAATGTTCTGGGAGAACGGGAAGCAGCTCCATTTTTTGGGGGCCCTTTACACAGCTCAAGGTCTGGGTCCCAGGATCCACCTTCATGTTCCACCAATGAGTTTGTTCACAGGGGGTGGAGTGTGTAGGGGATGTCCTGATGTGTGTAAGGAATGCATTGTGTGAATCTGTGTTTGTATGTGTAAGGGCTGCAAGGTGTGTATGTATGGGATGCAGTGTGTGCGTCTGTAAGGGATGCATTGAGTGTGTGTAATGAATGCATTGTGTGTTTCTGTGTGTGTAAGGGATGCATTGCTTGTGTCTGTGTGTGTAATGCATTGTGTGTTTTTCTGTGTGTAAGGGGTGCATTGTGTGTGTGTGATGGATGTCAATCTCCCCCCCCCATCAATGCTCTCCCCTCCTCTCAATTTCCTTCTCCCCCTCTCCAATTTCCTTCTTCTCCCCCTCTCAATTTCCTTCTTCTCCCCTCAATTTCCTTCTTCTCCCCTCCAATTCTCCCCTCTCTTTTCTTCTTCCCCCCTCAATTTCCAATCTTTTCCTTCCCCTCTCAATTTCCTTCTCTCCCCTCTCAATTTCCTTCTTCCCTCCCTCCAGTTTCCTTTGCCCTCCCCAGTTTCCTTCTCCCTCCCCTTCTAATTTCTTTGTTTCCCTCTCCCCACCACTGTTGTAGTGGCCGAGGCTCTGTATGGTCAGCGGGTACAGGGAGCTTTTGTTTCCTGTACCCGGCCGGACTAAAAGGAAGTGCACACTGAGTCCGACTGGGTACAGGAGACAGATGCTCCCTGTACCCGCGGACCATACAGAGCTCGGCCACACTACAGGTAGGGAGTGACAGGAGAGCGCTGAGCGCTTCTCTCTTGTCAGCCCCTCTCCTCATGCTGCGCCCGGGCGGTGCGACCTCATGGACGCACCAGCCCGTGCAAAGCTGCAGCCGCCTGAGGCTCTCTACAGAGCACTCGGGCGGCTGCAGCATGAGGGGGGCCGCTAACAGGTAGCACCGGCCCTGTGTGTATGTGTGTGTGTGTGTGTATATATATATATATATATATATATATATATATATACACACACACAACAAAATTGTGTATGTATATATATGTGTGTGTGTGTGTGTGTGTGTGTGTATATATATACACACACTCTAACTGTTTGGGTACGTAGATAGCACTCCCAGGTCTTTAACTTGAAGTAAAATATAACTTTTTTATTGGGTTCACATAAAAGCAAACATCAACGTTTCAGCTCGATATCCTCGATCTTTCATCAGGATGTATATGTAGCGGATCCCCTGGTAACCAGACCAGTTGCATCCGCTAATCCCCTTCCTTTAGCCGTTCAGGAACCGTTACAACAAGCAGGCATCCATTTCCCCCCAGTAACTGGATGCAGCACAGTTCTGGGGGTAAAACCACTGACCATCATTTATTGGTACACACAGCTTTTATGCACAGACACCCCTCTCCTCAGAATAAAAAGGGAAAACACATGAATAAGCAGTGGACATGGTACTCGGTGTATGGCGGTCAACCACAATAAATATATAAATATATATATATATATATATATATAAATATATATTACAATTACATTATTACTTTACTTGTGTTTGACAAACTTTTTATGGGGAATAAAGAATAATTTCCAGATGAAACCGTATTAGAGGAGGGATAAAAAGAAAGGGTAGAAGTTAGGGGGGGTGATGAAACCCTCATAATTATGTAGTGATGTGGTAATAGTTGTAGTAGTAGGTTGTACCTTGGATACTTCTCAAGTTACTATAGTGTGTTGTGTAACACCTTCAAAGGGTTTGTAACATATTTACATTTGATCTTATCAAAATAATGATATGAAAAGAAAAAGATCATATTGTAAATTGTGCTTTCAACCTTTTACTTAGCTGTATTTTCCCACTGCTCCCAATGTATAATCAGTCTTGTAAGCAAGAGAGATGATTTTCTAATAGCTAGCTCTTATCTCTTGTTTTTACAAATGAATGGGCTAATTTCAGATTTAGCTGGTTGTTAAGCTGCTGAAAATTCACCACAGGGTCTGGAAACCCTTGCGCCGCCATGGACTTATGCACTAACCCGTTTCTGCTTCCCTTGTCTCTGTATAATCAGCTGCTGGGAATACTCAATGAAGTCACAACTCTTGGATTATCAGTAAGCATTCAAAGGGTTTAATGAATTGCATTGTGTGTATATATAAAACACAGTTTTATATATACATTAACATGTATCCATCAACAGCATCAGCGGCAATATCAACCAATCATGGGGGTCTGTTAACATCAAAAGTGAAAGCATCATCTTAATATAGAGTTTGCAATATTTGGATGAGGTCTTAGCTTGTTTCATTGCCAAATGTGATGAATGCTAGCAGACATTCTCTACACATTCCCTCCAGCATACATCTGAAGTGCATGTTAAAATTTTCTTGAGTTTGGTGGGCACCAAGTACCAACAGCAAATAACTTTTGTGGTTCTCTATATGTTTTGAGCATAAGGTCAAAACTTTTAATGCTTCTTTTATTTTATGCCAATCAGATGAATTTCAGTTTTCATGTCTGATTCCTAGGCAGTCATATACAGTAATTTCCTGTTTAGGAATGAAGACATATAGTAGTTGCAAGTGGAAATTGTATGTTTTTGTTCCAGGTTTTTTAACACGCAATCTCTAAATTCGATGATTGCATAGTAAAATATGTTGGTTCAAAAGAGGGAATGTCAGAGATTTCACTCAATTTAGTGGTGATGTTTTGGTGTTGTGTGAATAAGGATTCATCGATATTATGTTTGCTTTGTAACTTCGGGAAGGAAAGTAATGAATTTACTTTAAAAAAATTATTTTATGTGATTTCTAGTTAGGTAAGTCAATTTCAAATACAGGAAATAATGATTTCTGGACAGAAAGGGGCATGCTTTTGAAAACCTGTTTACTGGTTGGACTGTTGAATTTTTTATTTTATTTAAACGGGTATATAGTTAGTAAATTTGAAGTTGGGTAGACCAGCAAATGTCTGAATCACTTACTTTTTAAAAGTAAAACATGCTAAACCATAACGCAATGGCTTTGGAACCACTTTAAACTAGACACACCATAAAAATGTAATACAAGAAACAGAAATCCATGCCATAGGTAAAGGAGAACAGCTATAATGAAACATTAAGTCAACCAATGCCACAGGTAAATTGCCAGAGAGAGTTATTCTGCATGCTGAGGATAGCGCTGCCAACTCCCAGGCCGGTGCATCACTGAGCCACGGACTCGTCAAGGCTTCAGAGTCCAAGTCCATCACTTTACAGGAGTGATTGTTCTTTTCAAATATTTTTTATTGAATTTTAAAAAACATAAGTTACAGAAATAGTAATATTTTATTGAATGTTGAATATTAATATTGGGAAATAACAATAAGAATATATACATCCAAAATATGTAAAATATATAAATCTTTACATAATATATAAAAAAAAATATGAAATTACAAGTATATGTACAAAAGATAACAATGAAAAAGAAAAATTATACATAAATAATAAAAATTAAAAAAATTAAAACAAATTGTTTTGGTCGACTAGAGGACAATCACCACAGATTGTATTCTTTCATTATGTCCTCCTCCCACATTGCCCATTCAAGATTTAAAATAGTATTTTTTGTAGTTTTTTTTTTTTTTTTATCTAAAAATCAATTCACATCTTTTGTTTTCAAGGGTTAAATTTAGAACTTCTTTTATGGATGGCACATTTATATATTTCTGATATTTGGGTATTAATGAACTGGATGCAATTAATACATGATTTAGTATAATTGTGTTACGGCTACCCCAGTGGAGTGGGGGTATCTGCCGTTGGAGACGTCCTTCTTCCCGGCAAGATGCTGTGTAGTAATGGAGTAGCTCTATCCCTTCAGTTGGATCCAAGTGTAGAGTATGGCAGAGCTCTTAAAAGAAATAGTGATTAAGCAGCACAGGTTCCCTTTCAATAATGAGACAAAGCTACGTTTTGAAGGGTGAAGTAGAACTGAGGGTTGTACAGGTACTCTCCTTTTATGCAATGCTCCCATGCAAGGGAGACACCCACAAACCATTATACAGTGACCAATCAAACAATGGTTACAACCCACATATTCCCTCCCCTCTGGTTGGGAGATAATTGAGTTTCTTATTGTATCTACTCCATTATCTCCAAACTAAAAAATTATACTTTTTATAAATTTTTATAACTTTCTCATTTTTCATCGTACATGAATAAGACTTGTATTTTTATGAACAGCACAACTTTGGGACAAACATTCAAAATTCGTGCAAATCCATTTGATAGTTTAGAACATCATAAAGTCTCTTTGGACTGACCACACGCCTGTGTATATGATTCAGGCTGTGCGGTCGGTCTATTCTTTCATTCGACTAAAGTCCCACTTTGCATGAACGGATTGATTCGTGCTTAGGCTCGTTGGATACAGCTAGTTCATGAGTTTATTTTGTCGAAAAAACGCTCTGTTAGGATGAATTTAGCCGAACGCACTGAGGATGAAAGTTTCAGCGATGTTCGTGGAAAAGTCTAGCTGAAAATAGTACCACGCGGTCAACGACCAAACACCGCTGAGTGCGTTCGGCTAAAGAAAATGGCCGCCGCCACGTGTTCGTGCAAACTAACGCCGACCACCCTGTATAACAATTAAACACATGGAGTGTTCGCGGTTTTCATGGTGATTTTAGGGTTAGGGAGGTAAATGAGTGCCACACTTCTGTTCTGGGTGGTCGGGCATTCAGTGAAAAACAATATACATTAAACAAAAGCAATTGCACGAACAGTCTTTGTTCTTAGGTAACAGGCAAGGTTGGTGGTGGTAGGAAAGGTTGAGGTCCCCAGGCAATCTTATAGGGGTTGTTACAAATTGATTTGTTTTTGGATAAATTTGGGGGATATTTTTTGAATAAACAAATTTCTTGGGTTAAGTTTATAATTGAATCTGCAATTGTGTTAATTATTTTATGAATCAAATTCCAGAATTGTTTTATATTTGGGCATGTTCAAAAAATATGGCCTAAGGATCTCACTTGACACAATGCCTCCAACATTTGTTTGATCATTTGAATTTGTGTAATTTTGAGGGGGATAGGTACCATCTGAGTAGTAATTTATAATGGGATTCATAATGAGAGACGCACTGTGTAGTACCTTTTTAATGATGAAATAAAACCATTCCAATCATCCATATGAAAGGCCAGGCCTTTTTGAGAGGACATTCATCTTAATTGAATTTTAGCTAACCAAGAAATGTCAAGATCAAACCAATTTTCTATGTCTTCTCTAATTTTTGGCCAATTTTTTCTCAAATTGCTATCATGCATCCTTGATAGGTTGTTACAAAAAAAATATGCATAAGTAAGAAATAAAATAATCTCTCCAACCAAAATCATTTTTTTTTTAAATTCTTTATTTTTCGAGTATTGGCAAATAATACAACATATTTTGTGATTATTAGGTATATGATATAGACGTACATCATCTAGCTGAACCTACTCAGTTTTTTATTAGTTGGGATCTAGTGCACCCAGACTCTTCTAAAGGTGGAACTAGAGCTTGTGAGTTGGGGGTGTTGGTGACGGGCTTCATGCGCCTTGTGGCTAGTTCGCATTGCGCTCTGATACAAATGCTTTAATAAGGCACTTATTTAAGGTTTGAGCGGACCAGTATCTTCCCAGGGTTGGGGTGTGTGTTTTTGTTAGTTTGTGCAGGTGGCTGGAGTTGTGCGCGGTGCAGTCAGAGGTCAGCTGTGTTGCGCGTTGGTGTCGCTTGTGGACTCTGTGCTGTTGGGGTGGGGGGGTACATGGTTACTCTATTTTAGCGCTATGTCTGGAACTTACAGAGCCTACAATATAACAGAGGTATGGTATATAATTATCAACAGTAAAGAAAGGCAACAATTAACAATTTTGGTAGTATGCAGGTAAGTACAGTCCCAAAGTTCAGGGTGACAGTTCAACCGCAGCGGGTGCTCCCCCTTTGGGTACAAATGGGGTAACGTCCGCTACATTCCAGGTTGAGTGGACTGCTGCTGTTGTCTGTGCACCTGGCAGGCCGAGAGCTTGCAGGAAAGGTGGCGCTTCAGCTGGGTGTGACCTAGCATGTCTTTCCCACTTTATCGGCAAGCAGTCGGCGAGGGCCCTACTTGTGGGCGATGGAGTTTTCTTGGAGAAGCTGGGTGATAGGCTTGAGAGATGTCCGCCAAGATAAGGTATGTCTGGAGAAGTGCTTAATCGTAAAAGCGTCAGTGCACTGTGCAATTAAGGATACTATTAGCGTAATATAATTAGAACAATGTGCAAAATTTGCAATATTGGTCTGTGCAAAAATATAAAAACATTTACTAGGGAGATATGGATATCACTCTTATTGCTTCCAAAGGTATGTAAGAACATGTAAAAACAGAAAAAAAATATACTTAGTATTATACTGTATTACATGGAATAAAAATAACCAAAATTGGAAATGAACTCGCAAGGAGAGAGCAGTAAGAAGTCTGCTCTCACTTATTCTGCTTATATCCACTAATGGGATGAGGTGTAAACAGAAACCGGAGTGTAACAGCTTGAATGAAGAACAATACTTTATTCCAAACAGATTAAAATTGTTCAGTACATGTGAGCGTATGCTCCCTATTGTCCACCGAAAATCCTACCACTTTGCTGTAGTGCAGCTTTCAAAATCTGCGGCTAGCACTGGCGGTTTTTATGTGTAAAGATCGGCACTTGCTGGTAGTTCTTCCGGGAGGCAGAGCTACGTTCTATGACATCAATGCGTATATGGACGTGATGACACGTTTCGCCTAAAACGGCTTCTTCAGATCACGTCATAATTCAGCTGCCATCTCCTTTTGTAGTTCGAGTCTCTCATTTACATACTGCATAAATGAGTTTAAAAGTCCACGTTTTATCACCTAAACATTGCAATGAATAAAAACCTCAAAAAACAATATGCTATAGATGGAATAATAAAAAGTAAATTTATTAAGAAATATTACATAAAAAACTATATAAAATAATGAAAAGATAAAATATCAATAAGCCAATACGTATTGATATTTTATATTGGCTTATTGATATTTTATCTTTTCATTATTTTATATAGTTTTTTTATGTAACATTTCTTAATAAATTTACTTTTTATTATTCCATCTATTGGATCCTCTCCTATTTATTGGAAACACCTCTACTGGAGACACCAACCAGCCACATAAGGACTAGGATCACCCTGGAATAGATCCTGAAGCCATCAATACCAGAGCCAGGTTCTATATTGGCTCTGATTTTGTGAGTGTTTCCTTGCACATATTTTTCTTAAAGTATTCATTGTTAAGCTGTCTGCACTATTTTGTGTACCTCTCTATCTCCACAGCATTATATTGAGAAGAGGGGAGAGAGAGAAAAGTATATGCTCCATCCATTGTGTTTGTATTGTATGTATCTTTCTGTGTTGGTATAGGGGATACCACACGTGTGTTTTTGAGCATTATTGTCACTCACTGTGCAATTGGTATCTGCTGTGAACATGGCCTGGATCTCACCAGGGCTTTAATATCTGCCCTGGTGGCTGGGGCCGAGTCCCCTTGTGCTGTGTTCGTTGGTGGTCCTGATCGCCGCCTTGGTTGAGGGGAGAGGTCGGCTGAGCTGTGTTCCTCTGAGGACAGTGGCGTATAGGCTGCTGCAGGCACCATCTTGGTGGGTGCAGGCCGCATGGCTGTGCGCATATATGCGCCGATATACTTGGGAACCTGAGCCCGGGTCCGGTCACAGTTTTTTGTTTTTCTTCCCCATATCTACGGGGATCGGGCAGCAGCTTATATGTGTCTGTTCCGAGGGCAGTGTCGGCTTATATCTCTCCGTTCTCGGGGCAGTATGCGGAGCTGCTCCGGGACACATCTGGCTCGTTTAGGCGCTGGCTCTTTTTTTTTCTTTTTTTTTTTAATTATCCAAATCAAATCTTGGGACAAAAAAGGAAAGAGCTTGTTTTATTAGTTGTTAATTTATAAAGAAGATGTTGCTGTATTCTTGTAGGATAGACTTTAGCGGTGTAAGTGAGGACAATGGGTTTTTCATTGAAAGCATAATGTCATCCGCAAAAAGGCTAGTTTTTTGTTATTAAATCATAAAATACAAAATAGTTTAGGTACTCCAAGGTTCAGAAATGGCAAATTTATTGAAGCCCAATGTAACATACGCTTGGCAAAGACCATGTAGGTCGAAACGTTGTTACATTGGGCTTCAATAAACTTGCCATTTCTGAACCTTGGAGTGCCTAAACCATTTTGTATTTTATGCTTGTTATTATGACCTGGTGCTTGGTCCTGGTTTGGTTGCACCCTGGCTCAGAGTGATGGGATTGAGTGCAGTTCCTTATTGCTTTTCGGAAAAGTTTTATGTTCTTGGTCTCAAACCACAATGCTTTCAATTTCTGCACATTGTCTTATAATTTCCGCCAAAGGCTCCACTGCCAATGCAATTAAAACCTGTGATAATGGACAACCTTGTCTTGTTTCATTAGACAATTAAAAACTATCTCATGTGAAACCAGACACAGAGACTTTAAATGTTGGATTAGAATATAGTGAAAATACAGCCCCGATGAATGGGTCCGGTAAGCCAAATCTTGGCATAAGTTCCCTAAAATACTCCCAGTGAAATCTATTAAACACCTTCTCCGCATCTAAAGAACAATGCAAAAATGGCCTTTGTCCCAATTTAATTTGATGAATTAAATTAATGTATCATTGTCAATCAGTTAAGAAATTTCTATAAGCAAATTGCCAAAATGATTGCATATATTGTTGTATCATTATTGATATCAGACAAAAATTTATACAAGCTTTTGGCTCTTTACCAGGTTTAAGCAATTTTGTGAATTGAGCACAAGGATTTTCTTCCAGCATTGTACCATTTTTCCAATATGGGTTAAATAATTTACTCAAATAGAGGATTAATATACCGAAGAATGTTCTGTAACATAACATCGTAAAACCATCTGGTCCCGGAGCTTTCCCTATAGAAATACTATTAATTGTATTTAAAATTTTGGTTTGAGAGATTGGTGAACTCAGAGAGATTAATTTATCAATAGTTACATAGCTGAAAAGAGACTTGCGTCCATCAAGTTCAGCCTTCCTCACATATGTTTTTGCTGTTGATCCAAAAGAAGGCAAAAAACCCAGTCTGAAGCGCTTCCTGTAATGGATCGACTGGCACCCCAACTGGGTACCTCCTTTGAAGGATGCTCCTAGCGCTTTCTGAGGACTCCAAGCACTGCAGCAGACACCATAACCACCATAGACTCTTCCAGAGAGCAAGGCAGGAACAAGCTCTTGCAATAGCTTAGTAGTGATATAGCAAGGGAGTATGAATAGCATAGCAATCCCTTATAGCAGATTCCCCCAATAAGAGACAGCACTCCAAATTGAGAGTGAAGTAGAACTGCCAGAGCTGTGGGTTTATTGTTCTTATATACACATTCTTACACATTAGTACCACCCACAGAGTTTTGTAAAACAACCAATAAACACGTACAATACACTCAGACACTCCCACACAAAATCCTCCCCTCTGCCTGTGATACAATTACCGTACACAATGGGTTAATGTAATTATCACAGGCAGGAAAATACACAGTTTTACACAATATTTTTTACACAAACTTTAAAAGTATGCATCACATTCACATAAAACTTACATCAGAATCAACATACTCCAAATACAAACATACGTCAAAATCATACAAATTGGTCCAATGGGTCAAAAGTTAGATTGAAGTCCTTTGTGACCAAATGGCTTTTCTGCCCAAAACAGATTCCACAGAGTCTTCTATCCTGGAGATAATTGGGAAGTAATCCAATTATCTCCAAGGACAGAGGTAAAACTCCATTAGCCACATGGTAGCAAAAGACAATAAAATACATACATATATATAACTGCTCAGCTATTGCATACAACATATCCCCAGATAGCTTAGATTTGAGCGCACATTATTACTGAATGGCGCTCAGCTCACGTACACACAGTTCATGGCATAACTATCTGGGGTATCACTGTTCAAATAGGCCAAGTACCGAATGACCCGACGTTCGGGTCTTTGCAGGGGAAAATCAAGTATTTCAACATGGGGCCATAGTCACAGGGCAGGAGGCTGGCAATCAGTCGTCTTAAATGCCCAGCGGCGAGGCTGGTTCCGTCACACTTCCAATTTTGAAACAGACTAGGAAAAAATCCCTTGTTGAACCCTAAATAGCAGTCCGATGTCTCCTTGGATCACGCAGCTATTACCATTCTAATTAGAAATTATATCCCTGTATGTTATGTTTTCAAAGTATTTATCCAATTGCAGTTTAAACATCTGTATGGACTCTGATAAAACCACCTCTTCAGGCAGAGCATTCCATATCCTTATTGCTCTTACTGTAAAAAAACATTTTCTTTGCCTTAGATTAAATCTCCTTTCTTCCAGCCTAAATGCTTGACCTCGCGTCCTATGTATAGCCCTGTGTGACGGTAGTCACCATCACTGAGGATGGAAGACACACTGTGGGTGGGCTCCCAAATTCCTTTTGTGTTTTGTCACATTGTGCATATTATTTGTGCAAGGTATGTTGAATGTATTGCTGGTCTGTGCATCTCCCCCTCCCCCTTTTTCCTGTCCTATTGTTTCCCCAGCTGGGCGTTGTCCCAGGGACACTGCCAGACCAGTTAAATCTAGCTGCTCTGTCCCTCCTCAATCTCCCATCAGCCCTTGCTATTGTCTGACCCCACCCTTCCTTGTACTATAGTAATCTATGTAACCTATTGTATGTAATTTAGGCTGTTGGGGGCTTAAACTATGTGTGCTGTATTCATTAAAGAGTTGCTGTTTAACCTTCACCATGTGTCGTCTGGTGTTTGGTCCAGGGTGGAAAAGGCCTTAAGCTCCTCTACTGGGATCCCACTGTGCTTTCTGGAATTCATGGAAATGGATAGAGCTAGCACTCGTGCAGCATCCCCATCTGAGGAGGAGTTACAAGCAGCTCTGTCCCAGTACGATGGCCATTTCTTAACAAAGGGTGAACTGGACCGGTGGGACTCGATCTGTTGGGATCTCTGAAACAATGTTCTTGAGGAGGTTTGTTGTCTCCGGGGAGAATCCCTCACAACCATTATGCAACAATTTTGGGATCAAGTCGATTTGTGGATGCAATTCTTGGGAGAGCAGCCCCTGGTGGAATGGGTGTTTAAATTAGAGGAGCTAGTACAGAAAGAATTGTGGCTGGATGATTCTTACTGGGCCTTAAGGTGGTATGCAGTACAGCAGTACCCATTTCTAGCAGATGATGACCCTCCAGATGGTGAGGACTATGATGGCCCTGGCCTATTGTGGGAGGCCTTTGAGGACAAAATTGAATTGGGAAGTCCTGAGAGGTCCCGGCTTTATGACATTAGGGAAAATAGGGAACACCTACTGGCTCTCTCAGAAGCAACTGACCTGGAACCTGATTTGAGCCACCATGGAGTGGGAGCTTGAACTGGATTACAAGCAATTGTTTGACTCTGCACAGCAGCAGGTACCAGAGACTGGGGATTTGATAGAACTTACATCTGAATATGTTGGTCAGGTAGATGTGGAAGGAACCGTATTCTCCACACCTGAATCACGGGGATACTGGGCAGCCGTCCCAGATCTCCCACCTCCTGGCATGGAAACAAATGCAGCAGAGGTAGAGGTTGTCGGTCCCCCCCTTCAGCAGCAGGTTGAGTTACTGGGAATAGAGGTAGTCGATCTCTCTCCCCAGCTGATGTTTGCATTACAGGGAGAGGAGGTGGTTGGTCTTTTTCCCCAGCGGCAAAGTGTAACCCCAGCAAAAGAGTTGGCATCAGGACAGAGGACCACTGGCCTCTGCCCCCAACTTGCAGCAACACCGGAAGTTGAGAGCAGGGTGGAGAGCCTTTCGGTGATGGTGGAACTTGAGTACACCACCACCCCAGCTGAAGCGCTGGCATTGAGTCAGAGCACTGCTGGCCTTTGTGCCCAACTTGCAATGGCCCTGGAGTTGAAGAGCAGGGAGATCAACCTTCTAGTGATGGAGTTCAAGGAATGCGCAACTCCCCCAGCTGAAGTGCTGGCATCGGGGCAGAGCTCCACTTGCCTCTGGCCAAACCCACTGGTAACCCGGGAGCCTCAGGCATCGAACACTGCTGGTCCCACGGAAATGCGGATCCCAGAGCAAAGCACGGCTAACCTCAGCCCTTTGCCACAAGCAGTGGGGGATCTCTATCCAATACAAATGGGTGTGACTCTGGTCTCTACCTGTAGTCCACAGGAAGGCTGGACAATGAGCTCCAATCCCCAACACCATGTCAGAGGGGGCCCAGCCACCCTGCCTTCCCTCCAGCGGCTGAGAGAGATCCAGGGAGACAGGACAGTGGACACGCATCGCCAGGTATATGCTTTAGTAGATGCAGAGGTCGGCTGGGTAAGTGCTGCTCTTCCGTGGGCAATTTGTTTGGGGTACCAATTCGGTGATGGCCTTGATGATCTGGATGTAGTCACTACAACCGAGTCAACTCGTCTGGGGTCTCCTGTATTGGTCTACTTCTGAAGAGGGAGAAATATGCTGGAAACTATTCTGAGCTGGAGATACAGGGTTCCAGAATTGCTATTGGCGTCTAGGGGGTCACAGTGGCCCCCCAAGAGTGACAACTCGTTGTACTCTATCCTTAGGCCAATGTTCTACCCAAGAACAGAATTATTCATCTATACCAATTTCTTTTAGTTTGAAGACTAATCTATTTTGAGGAATCGTAGAATGCAATTAGGTTAGTTTGACATGACCTATGTTTCATAAAACCATGCTGATTATTTCTAATAACAAAGTTCTTCCCAATGAATTCCTGAATATTATCCCATAATATGTGTGTGTGTGTGTGTGTGTGTGTGTCCTTAAGTACTCATGGGTTACCTCCGTCAGGCCCCAGAGCTTTATTTAGATTAATTTTCAAGTTATCTGCAAGTTTTTTTCATATATATATATATATATAACTGAAGAGAAAGTTATTTAAAATGTCTGAAGTGTGAAAAATAATTGCAATATCAGTACAATTCTAAGGATTCAGTCAATGTACATGTAAATTTGCTTAATGTTCTTGCCTTAGTGGAATTTGCAGTATATGATGTATTTTCTCCAATAGAAGCAGGTGTTTGTTTATATATGCAGAGTGGATCTGGAGGGGAAAAAAACTCAGCACTTTACGATGCATACATTGCAGTTTTTTTTGCCATTACATATTACTAGCAAATTTAGCAAACTGATGGTTACAGGCCAATCAAAGCTCATAAAATTAAACCCTTTTTGCAATACTTAAGTCTTTTGTTTTGGGAATGCTGTTTGTATCACTTACATAATGCTGAGAACTCAGCCAGACCACCAGTAGCAGATACAGGACTTAGGTGGTCATATCACTAAACGCAGATATTAGTATATATAAAATAAATATAAAAAGGCATTAGAAGGAACACTTCTGATGTAACCATTTGCTAAAGTTATGTTTTTTTTTTTTAAATTTGTATTTTATTGAGTTATTTTCAGTGTTATACAACTTCTCCGATGTATTTGTTAAAGCAAAAAGGAAACAAACATATTTTGAGTATTCAGATACAGTTACAGTTACATTGGGGTGCATATGTGTAGGTGAGTAGGTTATTCATATGTATGCATAGGGCACATCTCTAGGGCCTTAGTGTCCTCCTGTTATTGTGGTGGTGTGTCTTTGCCGGTCATAGGTGTTTCAGGATCAGAGTTAGTCCAGTGGTAGCGGGATCATCTAGGATACGTGGGTGTGAGGGTTGGCGTTCGGACTGCTACTTCGGTTTCTTTTTCTTGGTAGTGAGTCTTGGTATTCTTGTATTGCTGCATTTGGTGGTGTCTCTGTTTCAGTCTGTGCTGTGTGAGTTCGGTATGTCCGCTGGGGTGGCAGGTTCAGCTTTTGCAAGAACTGGTTAGGGTCATCTCTGGAGGTTAAGGTGAAACTTGCTCACTCTTTTCATCTAATAGTGATCCCTCAGTGCCCCACCGGTACCTGATGGTCGAGTCATGCAGTCTTCTGGCCACGGGTGCCAGCTTTCTCCTCTCCGCTAGGGTGGAGAATGGGATGTCAGCGTAGATTGCTATTTTGTGGCCTTCATGTGGCACTGTCCCTATTTCTCTAGAACGTTGCATTAGTTCTGATTTTACCGCTATATCCCTTGTCACCGCTATGACGTCCCTGGGTGCTTCATTTGGCTCTGCGGCTGCTTTTTTAACCCTGAACACTGATGAGATCGGTGGTGAGTCGGGGTTGTTTTCAGTGCCCATGGTTATCAGCATGTTGTTTTGACCCACAGCAGGAGTTTTGCGTTTTCAACTGACTCTGGGATGCCCCTGAATCGCATGTTTCTTCTCGTGTTCCGTACTTTTGTTGTTGTCATCACTTTTTGTAGCTGTTGCACTTAAGAGGTGAGTTATATTAGCTTGTGTTCTGTAGCCTGGGACTTTGCTTCCCTGGCGATCTCTTTCAGCTTTTTCCTGCACTTTTTGGTGTACTGCCCCCACTTTGGCCTGTACCTCTCGGAGGTCCTGCTTCCTCACTTTCCTAAGGTCTATTAGGAGACGTTTAATGTCACCCTTAGTTGAAGGTGACTCGTCTTCTTCAGACACAGACATACCGGAAGCTTTATCTGAGGAGGGTGGGTGTGAGGCACCTCCGTCGGCCTGCGAGGCTTTAGATTCCTCCAACTCATACAAGGCCTCAGGCGCCATCTTGGGCCTCTATTGCGGCACCGGCCGCTCGAAGGAGAGCCATATATCCGGCTGTCTTGGCGGTGAGGCTTTTTATTGTTGCGCTCCATGCTCTCTGCTTTGAGGGGTAGTTGTTTTCTTCATATTAGTCTGTAGTTTTCTGTTGGCTTGAGTCTTTATTCCCCGGTCCATTATGGAGTTTTCAGGGAAGACGTCTGCTCAGCTTCATGGTCAGCCACGCCCCCTTTGCAAGCATTATTGGCTTTTTTATATCTTATATAGGATGCCTCTAATTTGTCAGATTTAAATGCCCTTTTCTTATTTTGTATCTCTTGTGTTACTTCTCTACTGAGCATAGGTGTGCTGGGTGTGCCTGGGCACACCCTAATCCTCGCGGCATGCTTATGGATTGAGACCGGCAGGGGAGATCTCAGGATCTCCCCTGTCTGCTCATGCAGAGCCGGTGCTATCCGAGTTCTGCTCTAAGCCTCCATGGGCCTGTGGGGAGATCAAAGATCTACCTCACTGGCCCACAGCAGCATGGAGGGAGGCAGGAAAGGACCTGGGGAGCTCTAGCCAGCAGCTCCGCCGGGTTCCTCTCGCGAGATCCGAGCATTGCCGCGGCAACGCTCAGATCTCGCAAGAGTGAACTCTAGCCCCGGAGGCTTGCGTTCACTCTCCACTGGACCACCAGGGATGGCACATGGCAGCAAGGTAAGAAGGGAGGGGGGGATATTTACTAATCTGCCCCCACCTCCACCCCCACAATCCCTCCAAACATACAGCACACACACACACATACAGTACCTTCACACAAACAGCACACACATACAGTACCCTCACACAAACAGCGCACACACACAAACAGCACACACACAGCACCTACACACATACATCACCCTTACACACACAGCACACTAACAGCACCCTCACAAACACACATCCACACACAGCACCCTTACACACACACACCATCCTTACACTAACAGCACACACACACACACAGCAGTGTGTGTGTGTGTGTGTATATATGTATATATATATATATATATATATATATATATATATATATATAGTCCTTGCACTCACGCTTTAGTAAACTGTTTGCAGGGTGCTTGAAATCCAGGAAAATTCAAATATATACAGGTAGTGATCAGCACTCTCTGACTTTTGAAGGTTAAAACTTAGTTTATTAGTAATCCATTAAAAATAAGATCAACGTTTCAGTCCCAGCAGGGACTTTCATCAGGATCAGGCATGATGCATTGATCTTATTTTTAATGGATTACTAATAAACTTTTTTTATGTTGATCTTATTTTTAATTGATTACTAATAAACTGTAAGTTTTAACCTTCAAAAGTTAGAGAGTGCTGATCACTACCTGTATATGTGTGTGTATGTATATGTGTATATATATATATATATATATATATGAGAAAACAAGGGTTTGGCTGCACTCACCTAAACATACTTAAATGGGGTGCTGCTGGGAGCCAATAAGTACAGTAAAAATGAAAATCCAGCGCACTCACTTATCTACTAAACAGTTATTTTAGTGTTGAACAATTTTGTTTTATTAAAAACACCTAATCTAGGCAAAAAAACAATGGGGGTTTAGTTACATTATATGATCATACATTGCATAAGCCTGCCACAACGCCAATGTACCCATCTTTGGCAGGTCCTACTCTGTCTGTTAAATGAGCTACTCACTTGGGGAAATCCTTGCGTCTCGAGTTCTCTCCAGTACAAGGCTTAAATAGGGTCCTGAGATGAGGCACCTGTAACAGGGAGGGGTGCAAAACCAAGGAGCTGGCTAGACTCCTAAATATATACATATAGGATAAAACAAGGGTTTGGCTGCACTCACCTAAACTTACTTAAATGGGGTGCTGCTGCGCATGCCTATGCTACTAAGCCACATTGGTTTCAATTTGTTTCTTTATTTATTACCCAATGGTACATACTGAGAAATGTACCTTGCTAATATAGAAATTAATATAAATGTATTTCACCGGGATTCTATCCAAGAATGAACATATTGTTTTATATGTGGGTCGTTTTACATTAGGGCCCATAGCCAAATTGTATAGTCTTTTATAATAGCAAAGGTATTGCTAATTTTGCTAATTTTATTAGGATTGGTCGTTTTGGTATCATCATCATTTATTAAATGTTCAGTTCTTGTTTGGGAAATTTTATGTCTTAACTTAGAGGCCAGAATTGATGAGGCATTGTTTCCCTTTGAAAAAAATATTAGTCTCCTTAACATCAAGGCTATATGTTCTAATTGAATTTTTAATTTCTAAAAATTTTATGCTGAGATATGAAGAAGGATAAAATTTATTTTTCAGATTTCATTTTTAAAGCTTTTTTTTTTAATTCATTTAGATTTTTAGATCTGTTTTTCTTCAAATATGAAGCCCTTAGAATACAATGTCCTTTGAAAACTGCTTCGTGAGCGTTCCATATGGAAGAATCACATAAATTTGGGCTCAAATTTTCTTCAAAGTAATTATTAAAAAAAAAATTGTAAATTTTTTATTTTTTTAGGTCCCTAATTAGTCATTGTCTCCAAGATCTATTTGGGTTTGATCGAAGATATTAATCTAAATGTAATAGTATAGGGACATGATCTGACCAATTTATTTCTAGAATATTAGTTTTTATTATATTAATCATTTGTTCATTAGATAAGAACCTATCAATACAAGAATACATGTTACAAAATGTTAAATAGTATGTGTAATCTCTATTATTTTTGTGTTGGATTCTCCAACAATTGAACAGGCCTTGGGAAAATAAGTATAAAAAATTTGCCAATTTTTCTTTTTTGTAATCTTTTTTTTTTTGTTTGTTTTTTTTGTTTTGATACTCATTTTCTCTAATTATATCCATTTCGCAATCCAAATCCAAAATAAAATGTGTGCCCCCCAATTATTACTTTACTGGTGGATTTTTTTTTTTAAAAACTCAAGTAGTTATTTATCCCCAATACGTTCCACACGTCCCTTCTGAAACCCCTCCTGTGCAACCGGTACGAGAGGGCCTGTTAGACACCCCAGTCCTGTCTGTGCGGTCTTTGGTGAAGAGTACGAGGTGCAGTCCTTCCTCGACTCTCACTTTCGCAGGGGCACCTTGCAGTACCTGGTCCATTGGAGGGGGTACGACCCAGAGGAGCATTCCATCCGTATCCGCCTCTGATTTGAACGCCCCCCCGTCTTTTTCTGGCCTTTCACGCTCGTTTTCCTTTGAAGCCATCGGCTTCCTGCCCTCCTGGTGGTCGTCGGGAGACAGGAGGGGGGTTATTTCCGTTCCCCTGCCTCCGCGCCGGTCGCTGCAGCCTTGCTTACCCCGTCACCGCGAGCAGCGCCATCTGGTCCCTCTCCGCGGAGTGTGGCTGTCTCTGCCACCGTGCAAACAGTGATGACCTCAGAGACCACAAGGGAGGGAAGAAACACTAATTGGAGATTAGCCAAACAGACGCACCCTGTGTGTATATAAGCTAACCTCCACCTTACCTCCGTGCCCTGTTGTGGTCTTTGTTTAGCCCAATAGCACGTTACACTCTGTCTGATTATTTGGTTACTGCACTTTGATTTGTCTCTTCGTATTCCGTCTCTCTATTTCCTTTTGACATTGACTTGCTTTGACTATTCTTTTGCATTGCCCGGCCATTGTAAGGACCTGTATTGCAATTCTGTCTGTTGTGTCCTGTCTGTGTATTAGGACAATAGTGACAATCTCTATGAGGAGATGCTGGTTGGTCAGGGCTGTGTTTGAATTGTGCTGGCTCCTTGACAGACTCAACCAATCCTATGGGAAAGCATTGTTATTGGCTCAGACCACCACTTCTGATGATGTCAGCAGACAGAGGCAATTCACAGGCTAACAGGGGCAGTGCCAGGCAGACTTGAATACAAGTAATATTTTACTAAATTTATGGAGGCACGAGAGGGCCAAGATGGCTAGATGATGGTTTTAACACTATAGGGTTAGGAAGACATGTTTGTGTTCCTGACCCTATAGTGCTCCTTTAAATTACATTAAAATAGGGAACAGAAACTTGGTAAGAAATTAAAAACCAAAAACTAAAAATGTATTTACAAATTGGAAAAAGACATTAAAAGGTATAACGAAAAAAATGTATCCCCTCTAAAATTTACAGGCCTGAGTGGGGTGAGTGAAATGACCCCGAAACTAATAATACTAACTCTTATCAATAAAAAAAACTTCAGCAAGAATAGATATGTGTTGGGGTGATTCAGACCTAATTAAATTAGTACAGTCTATTAAAATATAGATTAATACATGGTCAGACCATGAATTTCTCATATTAGAAATCAAAGAAAATGGAAAAAAAATATTTCTCACCATGGAAACTTAATGATTCCTTATTAGCAAAAAAAAATATATAGAATATATAAAAAATCTCTCCGAATAATTTTTTGCTGAAAATCTTCCGGATTCTACATCTAATCAAAATGTATGGTGTATATACAAAGTAGTTACCAGGGGCTATTTAATAAAACTAGCAAGTTAGGAAAAAAAACAGAGAGGGGCTCCAATATCAGAACTCTATTTACAATTATACAAATTACAAGCTCAGAATAATGAGAAATTTTCCTAAAACACAAAAAATATAAAAATATGATTAATCAAAAGATTCTCGAAAGAATCAAATTCAATTTAAAATGATTAAAAACTACATTTTATTACCGGAGTAATAAAATAGATAAAATATTAACAAGCCGACTTGCAGATGACGTATTGATCTTTATTACAGATCCTGCCATTTCACTTTCTCATTTAATGCAAGAGATTAAAAACTACAGAGATGTTTAAAATTATAAGATAAATCTTCATAAAACTATTTGTATCGGATGGGCATTGGGCTGTCCTCAGAATTATGTGTATTCAGATGTTTTTGGTTAAATTTTGCCATGTGTATGTAAAGTGAATGCAGCATTCGTCTGATCAGTAAAATCACTCCAGTAATTATGCGAGTGAAACTACCAAACAATCAGACCACCCCAGGAATAAGTGTGCCTCCAATTACCGTTCGCAACAATGTTGCAAATGGGTAATTGGCAATTCGTGCAGTGTGTGCTTTGTCCTCTGGGTGGCCGCCATTCGGGAGACGAACACGTGGCGGCGGGCATCTTAAACTCCCGAACAGCAGTGTTTTGCCATCGAGTGTCTGGAACCCAAATCGGACACTCGGTTAGGCAAACACCGTTGAGACCTCCACACTGCTGTCAATTCATGTAAGAACTACCGAACGTCTCCCCGTTCAGTAGAAAGAACCCCACGAACAAGCTGATTTACCCGAATGTTCCCCAGTCTTCATAACCCAAGCTGTGTGTTTCATTCCCTTTTTCTATGACCGACCACAGGGCCAAAATGTGTGGAATCCTTTTTGGCTGTTAACTCCAGCGCGGTCGGTCTTTTTATTACATCCAGGAATTTCCCTAACCCCTGGTCCGATCTGGGTTATTTTTGGATATGTGCCTCACCCAGATCAGGACTACCAGGCGATGTAATATGTTTAGGGGTACATCCAGAAAACCAGGGGAACTGTGTCCTGCATAATGGGATTATGTGTCATACTAAGGAAGGGGATGTGTGGGTGGCAACTCATGTATGATTGGTGTATTGTGTAATTACTGTAAATCCCTCCCTTGAGTGGGAGAACGCTTTAAAAGAAGGTTGAGTGCTTAAAAGTTCAGTTCTGCTCCTGAAGCTGTGTGTCGTCCAGTCATTGGGATTCATGTTGGGATATTATTGGATTGTCTTGCCTGCTGGAATTATTGCCATATGGATTTTTAATACTTGTTCCTGTGCCTCACTTGGATCTTGAGTGGAGATAACCTGTGGAAAATCAGCTCTCAGCTACATATTGCTTTAACAGTTAATCTAAATTTGTATATGTTAGGTTCTCTTCAAGAGAAATATAATTTCCAATGGACTAAAAAAGAGTTCCAATATTTACGAATTACTAATACGGCAAATCCTCAAAAAATAGTGGAGACTAATTTTCTAAAAATGATAAAATACACAAATAAAACTTGAAAAGAATGTCGCCCCTTAGAAATTTCCTGGTGGGGAAGAGTCAACACAATAAAAGCATATGTTATCCCCAAATGGGCCTATATTTTCAACATGATTCCATTGAAAATTTCTAAACCTTGGTTAGATATGCTTCAATATTCACTTTCTAATTTTATTTGGAATGGGAAAACACCAAGAATAAAATCCCAAATTTTACCAAAAAAAAATTAATCAAGGAGGAATGGCTTTTCCACTCATTAAAGATATATATAGCGCTAATATTATTTCCCATATTCATAAATTCCCTATCTCAGACTCTAGAAAACAACCCTGGTATCAGATAGAATAAAAGAGAATGATCTAGCCCTTCTGATTTGGGACGATGAAATTAACTATAAGACTCATTTATTCAATTCTATTATTGTCTTCTTAAGATATCAAAAAAAATAATTGAAGGAGCAAAAATGATAAAAATCTCTCCAAATGGAGCGCTCACAAAGAGATTAATATTAAAGATCTCCATCAAAGTAGTAGATTGTTTCCATTCAATAACCTCAAATCTAAAATTAATATCTCTGACATAGAAGTCTTTTCTTACATGAGAGTAAGATGATTTCTAAACAAGTCTTTATTGAAGGCGATGTAAATCATTTGTTTATAGAATTTTTATAAAAATTAAACTAAATCAATATGTTCCATTGCAAGTGTATTCAGATATTCACCCTACAGCTAAAAAGCAATGGGAAAAAGATCTTAATATGAAATTATCTTATAAGACTTGGTGCTCACCTATGAAATTACTTAGAAAACATATACATTGTTTAAATTTAATCAAAACTTTTTTAAAAGTTTTCCATAGGTGGTACCTAGTACCAACAAGGTTGGCCAAGATATCCTCGTTTAATTCCTCCCTGTGTTGGAGACGTCTAACACATGAGGGAGATATGTTACATATCTGGTGGGGTTGCCCAAAAATTAGCACCTTATGGGAATCCAAAACAAACAGTACAGTAAGGATGCGCCTAAAAAGTATACTAAAATATATGAAATAAAATATATAATAAGACAGTGTATAAAATATAATAAAATAAATAAAAAAAATAATAAATAATAATAATAATTGGCAATCGTCCAAAACTTATCAAAGTTCGTGATGAGTAGTCCCACGGAAGGATAAAAGAGGATTCTTTACAGTGTGGAGTGTGGCGAAACCAACCTCGCCACTGTGAACTGGAGAAGCCTGGTTGCTCGCCTGCTCCCTTTGGACTATGGCCCTGCAGGTTAAACCGCTTATTTCCCCTGCAGAAAGGCTTATTTGTGTGATCTGAGTGCCATTCATCTAATAATGTGCACTCAGATCCCAGCTATCTGGGGATATGTGAAATGTCTGTGTGTTCTGTGTAAAGGTTACTTTATGTATTTTAAAGTGTTTTGTGTCTTTTTGCAACCATGTGCTTAATGGAGTCTTGTGTCTATCCTGGGAGATAATTGAATTACTCTCCAGGATAGAAGACTCTGAAACTGGTTTGGGCCAGAAAGCCATGCTTCATTTAGTCACAAAGGACTTTTTACTAACTTTTGAACCCCTTGTCTGATTTGTGCCATTTTTGAATATGTTGTTCCCTTGAATGGATTGATTGTGAATATGTAATTTTATGTGAATGTGATGTATGGTTTTGGAGTTATGAAAGTTGGGTAGAAAGTATGTTTTAACTGTATGTATAATTGAGTTTCCTCTCAGGATAAGGGGAGGAAATATGTGGGATGTAACTGTGATGTGATTGGTTGTTTTATACCTCCCTGTGGGCGGTCCTGTATTTGCAAGACTGTAATAAAAACCAGGCTGGGTGTGCCAGCACCTCAGACCACTGCTTGACCCTCAACACGGAGCCTTGTCTCGTTCTTGGGGGGATTCACTGTATGCTGTTAGAGACTGATTGCCAGGAGTGTAAGCTGTTCGTCTGCTTTTCCTGTTCGTCTGCTAGCAGCTATTTGGGAGGTTCCAGTTCGGGAGTTGGAGTGCTATTTTGTATCCAGTTCGTGAGTTTTGGTGTTCTGCAGTAGCTGTGCCTGGATCTCTGGAAAGGGGGCCGATCGCCTAAACGGTTTTTACCCCTTGTGTGCAAAACGGTCCGTTACATGGAGTAAGGTCATATAGGATTCAATGGAGCATATGTGGAGAAAAGAAGAAAAAGGACTCCAATGGTACAGTATGTAGATACGTTGAAAATGAGATAATAAGATAGGTCTTACTCACAATTTTCAGAGCTGAGGATCCAGCTCTGATGTAAAACACATGAAGTGGAATGATCCCCACTCAAGGATATATGTAGTAGACTTCAGATGGCGATTCTCTGGTACACGTTCAACGTCCAAAGTACAGACCCAGAAGAAGAAAATAAAAATATATAGTGCTCTCTGTGTTGCAGTAAAATATTAAAATTATAAAATGAATATTACTCACATTCTTTTGAGAAGGTATATACTGCTCACTATAAGCGCTTGGGTGGTATAATCCCCACCTATGGATTCTTTAAACTTCTTCTGAAATTAGGCAATATGGATAGTCAGGCGAAAAACAAGCAAGAAAAAATGGCAATAAAGTATTTTATGCCAAAAAATTCTTTATTGTAATGTAATAAAATATCTAGACGCGTTTCGCCACAAGGGCTTCTTCAAGTAGATAAAAGTGAAAAAAGGGGGGGACACACCTGACATACAAGGTTTATATAGGATACAATAGGGTTATGGGTTTAAAATTCCCGCCATAATGACATCATCAGAACATTCAAAATAGTACAGACAAAAAAAACATTAATTTTCCTTACATATATATAAATATGGTAAATGTGAGATAGGTATAGTACTTTAATTAAAAAAACGAAGGTTTTTATAGCTAAAAATAACATATTGAAAACAATCACGTGACGCGCGATCTCTAGGCACTTCCGCGTCACGTGATGTTAGGTGGAACGCATGCGTTCCGTTTGTGTGGAACGCATGCATCACAGAAGGGGAGGAATTCTCCCTGATGCTCGAGGAGAAATTTAATCGAGCAGAGAAAAGGCTATCTGCTGATAACAACAAGCAGATAGCCTTCGTGTGGCTGACAACACACACTGACCGTCCTCCCAAGCAGCAGGCATGTGCCCAAACCATGGGATCAAAACCAAACATGAGCAAACAAAAGACATAGTATAATAGTACAATCTTACAAGGCAGTATTCACACAGAACATATATATATACACTTGTGCAACAGCCCTGCCACAGAGAACAGCATATACAATTATATAAAATAAGTTGTATAAAAAATAAATAAATAAAAAGTAAAAAAGGGGATATGTACATAAAAGAAGATAATATTAAGATATGGGGAGAGGTAAGATTATGAAAGATAATTGAAAATGTGTAAAATAAAGCCTAAAAGATAAAACCTAAAAAATTAATAAAAAAATAAAAAAACAACTTTTATAAAAAATTAAAAAGATCAAAATCAATATTCAGACCTTTTGGGGCAAGGGTTTTCAAATTATATGTCCATTCCATTTCTCTTTTGCCAAGAACTTTTTTAATGTCACCGCCTCTCCATGGGACATTACATATGTCTATGCCTAAACACTTAAGATATTTTGGGTTCTTATCATGTTGTAAGAAATGTTTTGAGACAGAATGATTCTCATAGCCTTTTAGGATATTCCTACAGTGTTCGGCTAATCTTGTTTTTAAATTTCTAGTGGTCATGCCAACATATTGTAGTCCACATGGACATTCCAGAAGATAAATCATGTTTTTGGTATTACAATGAATAAAGTGTTTTATTTGATATATTTTCTGTGTGATTGTAGATGTGAACGATGTAGTTTTGGACTTAATAATATTACTCGTACGCTTGCAAACAATGCATCTATTGCATTTATAAAAACCACTTGGTTTATTCAAAAAGGTAGAAGGACTAGGAGATAAGGTGCTATGTTTATGTTTAGTATAATTACTTGTAAGGATGGACTTAAAACTGGGTGCCCCCCTAAATATAACTTGTGGTTTTTCGGGGATAATCCCAGCCAGAGTCTCATCCTATTTTAATATATGCCAATGTTTCTTTATGATCTTCTTCATAACATTACTTTTGTTATTGAAGTCGAAAATAATTGGCAATACTGGGGCAATTTTCATTTCTTTATTTGTTTTATGTTCAAGAAGTTCAGATCTATTGGTTGTCCTGATATTTTTTAACGTTTGATCCACATTGTTTCTAGGATAATTTTTTTGAAACAATTTGTTGGACAATAATTGAGACTGTTCCTCAAAATCTTGTGTAAGGGAACAGTTTCTACGTAAACGGAGAAACTGGCTTTTTGGTATCCCTTGAAGCCATGGTTTGTGGTGACAACTAGATACATCAATAACGTTATTAGTGCATACCTTCTTAAAAAAAGTCTTAGTATAGATTTGATCATTTTTAATAAAAATCTCTAAATCTAAAAATTTGATGGAAGATTTGCTAAAATCCCAAGTTAAAATGATACCTTTGTCATTATTGTTAAGATGTTGTAAAAACTGATTAAGAGAGTCTTCTGGGCCATCCCAGATAAAAAAACAAATCATCAATGTATCTAAAATATGTAACCAGGCTCGCCCGCCAGCCATGTTTACCCAAAATGGCAGTGGATTCCCAATCCGCCATAAAAAGGTTAGCATAGCTGGGGGCAAACCTGGTCCCCATAGCAGTACCCTGTTTTTGTAGATAAAAAGAATCTAAAAACCAAAAATAATTATTGTTTAAAATAATATTAATACCTTGGATAATAAAATCTATTTGTTGATCAGGGATATTCTTTTCAGCTTTTAAAATTTTTTCAACTGCTAAACATCCTTTTTTGTGGCAAATAATGGTGTACAAAGATTGCACATCACAGGTCACTAAAACATATGTATTTTTCCATTGAAAAGTATTTAAAAAGCGGAGTAAGGACATCGAGTCTTTTAGGTATGAATTCATACGTTTCACTGAAGGTTGTAAAAGAATGTCTAAATACTCAGATAAATTCGATAAAATAGACTTAATTCGATAATTCCCTTATGGGAATCCGTATATCTTTTTCTGGAGTTCTTCAATATTAAAGTTGTAAAATGCCCACAGGTAGGTCTACTCCATCTTAATTGGGATAGACTCCCAAGAGACAAATTAGTATTGACTATCCACTCCCATATTGCTGCGAAGATACTAATAGCAAGAACTTGGAAACAAATAACCACACCAGATATGAAACAGTTTATAGCTCAATTGTTATTCCAGCTAGAAATGGAGAGGGGAGTTGCATGTTTAATAATAGAAAATACATACATCATTTTGATAATTGGCTAAAAATAGATTAAAGAATGTTTCCTATAAATATTCATTCTCCTTATCATAACAGATAACAGGTTTTTTCTTCATACTATTTTTCTTTTGTTAAATATATAAATTCCAACCAATAACTATGAATGATTGCTATGTTTAAGTATGTCTTGTTACATGTAAAATAACTGCAATCTTTTTTTATATATATTAATGTAACTAAAGTAATTCTATGTATTTATGAATGTTAAAAAAAAAAAAAATTCAATAAAGAGAAAATGGAAACTACAAATGGGAAAAAAGACATTAAAAGGGATGACTAAAAAATGTATCCCCTCTAATATTTACAGGCCTGATTGGGGTGAGTGAAATGACCCCGACACTAATAATACTCTTATCAATAAAAAATAAAAAAATTTATAAAGAGCTATATTATGAAAATTATTTCTCTCTATAAAAGAAAATACTAATTTCTTAAAAGTTATATCTGTTTTTTCTAACCATTTCTTCTATATTAACTATGTATAATTTATATATCTATATTATAATTAATATATTTATAATAGTAACACATTTTTTTTTAGCTCAACTTAATTAACTAATGCTTATTACGGTCTATTTAACTTGTAGCCTATTGAAGTAAAATCCATGAATGACCACCAGCAAACCAATAAATTATTTTGTAAGTAACCAATATCAACCATTCGGTATTTTATAATCATAAAATAACTGAATTTTAAATAATGTTAGGTTTTTTATCAAGTGTGAACTATTCCTACAACATTAGATTTTACCTTTACTTTTAGACTATGTACAAAAAGGAACTGTGTAAATGTTATATATGTTTTTATTTTTTTTATTGTATGTGTTCCGTCTATCATCCTATAAAAAAAAATAATCAAAATGTGCCAAATAATTTCATTGGCATACTATATTTAGTTCACTTTTTTATTTTGCAAGTTTGACTTTACATACATACGAATTAAGAGTAGCTCTAATGCCTATTACAATATACCCAATTATTTTAATCAAAAAGGTATGTATGTGAAGTCAAACTTGCAAAATAAAATAAAAGTGAACTAGATATATTATGCAAATTAAATCATTTGGCACATTTTGATTAAATGATCATCAAATAGCATAGACTAAAAATCATTTGAGAAATAAGAACATCTAACCTCATTTGGTAAATTATATACGAAGAATTCAAAGTGTAATGAAGTAAAATTCACGAATGACCTCTATCAAACCAACAAATGAATGTGAAAATAACGAATATCAGCCGTTCGGTACTTGTTAATCATAAAGTAACGGAAATCTAAGTAATGTTAAGTTTTATATGGAATGTGACATAGTCATACCACATTACATTGCTCCATTATCGAAGACTCTATATAAAAAAGAAATATCTAATTCTATTATATATTTTTGAGTTAATACCCATAATCTTATGCGTTACGTCTTTCATTTGGCAAAAAAGATGTTAATATTGCTCAGTGTTTTGTAATAGTTAAAAGTTACCTTTATATTGCATATATACAAAATCAAACATACAAATTAAAATATCAGTGAACTATATAAACATGTGAATGAAATCAAATGGCACATTTTGAGTAAATGTTTGTCTAATAGCCTAAACTAAAAATAATTTGGAAAATAAGTACAATTGGCCTCATTCGGTATATTGCATACAAACCAATATATTGCAATAGAATATTTTGTAGTAATTTGTTTATTTAAAAAGAAAAAAAAACCCTAACATTGGGTCACACTCCAACATTTGTTATGTATATACCATACAAATGAGGCTTGATTACTACACCTAAGAATGAAGAAAAAAAACAAACATTTTTTTTTAAATTGACTTTTAAGTAACTAATGTTCAAATTAAAAACAAAGGGGTGTATATATAAAGAACTATATAAATATTCCAACTTAGTAAATTAATCTAATAATGAAATATATATATATATATATATATATATATATATATATATATATATAAGAGGGGGGAAAAGGTAGTAACGTCGAAACAAAAATAACAAACGGTTCTTAAAAAAGTAATTTCTCTAAATTTTATTTTATTTGTTAGTAGGTGATTCTTTTCTCCTTATCTTTTGAGGTGAACAAGGAGTAAGTGGTTCTGGTGGGGATCTTGGATTGTCAGTGGTTGTTTTTAATCCATCTTCTGGTGAATCGATCATGATGTTATGTCTCTCTTTTGAAAGAGAATAACGTTTACTGGGAATCCCCATATGTATTTAATGTTGTTTTTTTAGTAGTTCGCTCGTAAAAGGGCAAAATTCTTTCCAATGACGTATTGCTTGTGGGGAAAAGTCTTGAAAGATTTTAAGATGATTTTTATTCCTTCAGTGTGTTTCTTGTATATAAGATTGAACGAAATAATGACATATCACAATCACTTCTCTAGGTTGCTCTTTGGCAATCTATGTAATCTGTCAATTAAAACTACCGAACAGTTCACATACGGTAGAACTGTGCAAACAAAGCCATTGATATAATCACTCCGTTCATCTGTTTTAATGCTTTCTTCAATTTCCTGAATCTAGGCTACCAGGTGTTCTCCTCCGTCCTCTACGACCTGGCTTAATACTGCCCTCAGTCCAAACATTGAAGTGTCTGTGTGGACGATAAAGCATTTGTTAGGATCTGGGGCAGCCAATACAGGAGCAATAATAAGGGCTTGTTTTAAAGCTTGGAAAGCCACCTCACACTCCGGGGACCACAGGACTTGTCGGGGCAACTTCTTTTTCGTCAAGTCAGTCAGGGGTTTGGTCAGGGCACTACAGTCCGGTACGAAGCGTCTGTAGTAGCCGGCTGTCCAAAAGAAGGCCATGACTTGTGTCTTGCTACTGGGAGTTGGCCAATTAGCAACGGCCTCGATCTTAGCTGGCTCTGGCCGTTGCTTACCACACCCGACTCGGTGGCCCAAATATTGCACCTCCACCATACTAAGGTGACATTTGTCTGGCTTCACGGTTAAGCCAGCCCCCTTAATCCTATCTAACACTGACCCTATGTGCTCTATGTGTACCTACCAGGTATCGCTATAGATAGCGATATCGTCCAGGTAGGCACACGCATAGTCCTGGATACCCTCTAATAGGCGGTCCACCATCCATTGGAAGGTGGCCGGAGCGTTCTTCATCCCGAACGGCATAACTCGAAATTGGTATAGGCTGAACCGGGAGATGAACTCTGACTTGGGGACCGCATCCTCCGCGAGGGGGATCTGCCAGTATCCCTTACAGAGGTCTATCGTGGTCAGATACTTCCCTGTGGAGATGCGGTCAAGCAGCTCGTCCATCTGGGGCATCGGAGAGGCATCCGTGACTGTCTTGTTGTTGAGCCACCTGTAATCTACACAGAAGCGGGTTGTACATCCCGCTTTGGTACTAAGACTACAGGTGAAGCCCAAGGTCTGTCCGAATGCTCTTACTCTCAGCCAGAGAATTTCATCTATCTCCGCATCCAGTCTCTGACAGTTTCGGGAATGCGGTAGGGAGGTTGCCTTAGGGACGCCTGCCCTGGGATATCCACCTTGTGGGTGGCCAGCTGGGTGTACCCGGGCTCCTGGGATTACATGCCCTGTTTGGCTTCCAGTAAGCGGATAGCTTGAGCCCTCTCTTGGGGCTCCAGCTGTTCCCCCAACTGGACCAACTCTATTGTCCTTGTCTCCCGGTTGCCCCCTAATAGGTCGGGTAAGGGCAAAGCCTCAGTGTCTTCGCCAGCGGGAGCGCAGATAGCTGTCACCTCTTCGGCCCTTTTGTTATAGGCTTTGAGCATGTTGATGTGAAACATCCATTTCACATCCTCATTCTCGCAGCTGGCTATGGTGTAAGTGGTATTGCACACCTGCCCTATAACCTTGTAAGGGCCCTGCCAGGCCTCCTGGAGCTTGTCAGTTCGGACTGGTCGTAGCACCATAACCCTTTGCCCGACTTGAAAGCTCCAGTACCTAGCCCTCCTGTCGTACCATACTTTCTGGTGCTGCTGGGCCACCTGGAGGTTTAACTGCACGGCCTGAGCCAACCCCTCTATCTCTGTCTGGCCCTCCCAGTGGTCCTTAATAAGGTCTAGGGGTCCCCTTACTCGCCTCCTGTATAGCAATTTGAAGGGGGAGAACCCGGTGGATTCCTGGAGCACCTCCCGGTTTGCAAAGAGGAGATGCGGCAGGAATCGCTCCCAGTCCCTGTAGGCTCCCGTGAACGTCTTCAGCATCTGCTTCAGAGTCCCGTTGAAGAGCTCACAGAGACAGTTGGTCTGGGGATGGTACGGGGAGCTGGTCAGGGGTTTAACCCCGCAGACCTTCCATAGCTGTTGGGTCACCTCGGCAGTGAACTGCGTGCCCTGGTCGGATATGATCTCTTTGAGAAATCCTACTCGAGAAAATATCTTGACCAGAGCATCAGCCACGGTCTCAGCCAGCATATTAGGAAGGGCTACGGCCTTAATCTACTACGGTAAGGATGTATCTCTTACCAGAGTGGCTAGGCCGAGCTAGGGGTCCTATAATGTCTACTGCTACTCTTTTGAAGGGTTCCTCTATTATAGGTAGGGGGACCAGTTTAGCTTTTGGGTCGTCTCCCCTTTTACCCACCCTTTGGCATACCTTGCACGTTTGGCAATACGTCCGGACGTCGTCTGATACCCCAGGCCAGAAGAAGTTCTCGGTTATCCAATGTAACATCCGGCGTATCCCTAGGTTCCCGGCTAAAGGGACATCATGCCCAATTTGCAATAACTCCCACCGGTATTTCCTCGAGATCACCAGATGGCGTTTTTGCCGGGGCCCGAATGTGTTGACCCGTGTCTCTGTGAGTTAGTATAAGCGACCATTCTCCCAGACCAGCTGCTCCTTCTCCAACCCCCTGTGCCTAACATGACCTCTGCGGGCAACTTCTTCATAACTCCCACGTGTACATTGCCAGCTCTGGCACCCCAGTCTATATGCACCTGTGCCATAGGAATCCAATACATAGTCGTCGTCCCCGCCACTCGCACAGCAATAGATTTCCCTGGTCTCTCAGCGTTATGAATGAGGTGCCGTTGCACCAGGGTTATGGTAGCGCCACTGGCTCTGAGCCCTTGGGCAGTCTTCCCATTGACCATCACTATTGACAATGACAATGATGTTTCCTGTTGTCAGTCATGGTGGATTGGACCAGAAGGGCTTCGTACTGGGTGCCCAGGGGTTCCTCCTGACTCAACTCCTTGGCGTCCCAGGCAGAAGGTACTGGGTAATCCAAGCAGTGGGCTGCGGCCCTGGGTTGAGGGAACCCGGGGCGGGTCCAATTGGACCTGTGGGCTTCCAAGGGGCAATTATTGCGCAAATGTTGGCTGCACCGGAAACAGCGGGGCTCGTTGATGGTACTGCGGGTCTGGGGGGTTGAACCCGTGGTATAGTCTGTGCGGTTTTGTGAGTATCCGCATACTCATCTGCAAGCTAATATGGAGACCCACTCGTCTGCAGGCACTCTGTGTAGGCTACACTGGCGCTCGAAGTCTGCCAGATAGCCATCAATTTCACAGTCATTCTCATTAAAGGCTTTGAAGGGAATCTTTGGGGCATCTCCGGTGCTGTTCCCTCTGTTCGAGGAACTTGTCGCTGCTTGCTGGGTTTCAGCCAGCCTTAACTGCAGCTCTAGCTGTGCTTTCTGTGTAGCCTCTTCTGCTATAATTTTCATCACCTGCATGATGATTTCGGCTGTTGGGTTCGGGCCGAACCATGCCAGTATTGCATCTCCCGGTTAGTGGGTGATTCATTTTCCCGAACCATCGGTGCCTGCCGCAGCCAAGATCTCCCGGTCTAGCTCCATCAATTCAGCTACGATGACATGCTTGGCTTTATTGCTGGCACTATTTCCACGAACCTCCAACAGTCCCCTCAACGTGTTGCGTTTAAGCTGTGTGTACCAGCCTTCCATTTACTGTACACCAGTGTCTTGCATGGATTCTCATTTTGGAAAAAGTAAAATCCTGCCGCTGCCAACCAGTTGTGACGGTAGTAATCTGTATCACCGACCAGTTTTCCCTTTTTCCCAATAAGCAGAGTATTGCCTAAAATCCACAGGAACAAATATCGCTGGTATCGCCAAATAATCCACACATGAGCCAAAGCTTAATGCTGGAACAAGACTGATTTACTGGAAGCAACAGGCATTCAATTTATACAGTACAAGCTCCTCCTCTGGTCCATGCTAGATAATTGAGTTTCAGCAACATACTAAACTCAATTATCTGCTGGCCAGAAACATTAACAATTTTCAACATTTTTAGAAATATACTTTCTATATGATATAACAGTATAAAACCCACATCCCTGGGTAGCTGAGGATACTGGGAGTAACATATCCAAATTGCCCGAAAATCCGTTAGGTAGTTTCTGGGTTGCATCGTGTGGAAGTTTGACCGGCTCGCCATGCGGTTGTATCCGATTTAGAGTTCCATAAAATTGGTAGTAAGAATTACATGAAAACCACTATAGGTAGAATGCAGCTGGTTACATGAGAATTCTCCCCTCGTTCGGTTGATTGAAACCCCTGAACGCCGGTCTTGTACTGCAAGGAGAAATAGGTTAGACGGGACTGGGTGTTTGTGCGAGTGCCATGCTGAAAACCGTTCCAGGCACTCAACGACCAAGTCCCGCTGGCCTCGTTTGGGAGTTTAAGATGGCCGCCATCCTATGTTCTCGACACGTGTTCGTATGCCGAATGGCGGCCACCTAGGAGCACTCAATTACCTTGTGGTTTCGTGTTGCAACGTTCTAATTGCTACCCAGGGTGGTCTCTGTTCGGTAGAACAAATAATCTACCGAACACACACACAAAAACGAATGCTGCCAAGTCATTTAGGTAGCAGGGAGAGGAAATTGTCGAATGAAGCCAGAGAATACAGGGAAACTCTTCACAACTACAGAGTTTAAAGCCATATCATCTACTAAAAATCTATCTATCCTGGAGTACATATTAAACACCGTAGAATAGTAGGTATAATCTTTTTCTCCAGATTTCGTCTGTCTCCAGGAGTCAAACAATCTCAGTTTTGAACAAGCTAATGCACTTTTGGAGGTGAAATTAGTGTCTGAGCTATGGAGTTGTTCCGTGGTGGTGTCTAAATCATAATCTAGGACAAAGTTGCTGTCGCCACGAATAACTTGTTTTCTCTTTTTAACCTTTGCAAGTTGTTTTATGAGGAATTTAAGATATTTCTCATTAAAACAGTTACCTAATGATAAATTGGATATTCTAAATTCTCATTATCTCAAAAGAAATTATAGACGCCATTAATATGATCGCACAAGGCAAAGCTCTAGGGTCTGACGGTTTTACCATTAATGTATTAGAAGTCTTTCACTGGCATTCTTAACCACCATTTAACTCTTTAAGTGTTCTTGCATAGCAAGACCACTTAATGTTATCTCACATATATATATTATTATTATTATTATTATAGCCAAATTTACCACCCTAACTTCTCGCACAGTTTTTACACTACATAGACCGTAATATACCAAAACATGCGGATTGTTCCCGATTGGTGTGCTCTTACTTTGTGGAACGTTTCGCCGAATGGTTCACGGAATATCGTCGTTCTTGTGGCGAAATTGGTCCCATAGGAATGAATGGCTAAATTTTCAAAACTAGAGTGGGAGCTGGCAAAAGCTGAAAAATCAGGACATGATTTCTAAACTGCCACCACTCCCTCATTTTCAAGCCCACCTACACAAATCTTATATCAAAACATTCAGCTATCCCTGCTGTCAGTAGAAATGTCCACGGCTAAGCCATAGTCCTGATAGTTTTCACAATATGACCATTTGATTGCAACTCACGCCGTCCATTGACATTCATTGAAACTCCACTCCAGCCAGCTTAAATTTGAAGGGCAATTTCTAAACTGCGACTGTGCCTACATTGTTAATACTTCAGAGACATACTACGCATCAAAATGTAGGTCTGGGTCTTGTGATTCTCACAATATAAAGCTCTTTGCTGTAGGATTTATAGTTTTTAAAATACGACTATTTGAAGATGGCAACCGCCAAAATACTCTGACCTATGCCAGGCTAGAGCAGCAAGTGATGTCATAGACAGGGCCTTTTGTACTCCTGCTAATATTTTTTATAAATGTATGTTTTAATGTAACTGTGAAGCACTTTGGGCAACAACGTTGCAATTAAATGTGCTATATTAATAACAGTTACCACTCCAGTTGTAGACTACTGGTGGAGGCAAGAACACTTTACACAATTTCCCCAGATATTTTAGCTTTTCTAGTTTATTAAATTATTACTGGAATACAGGTGGAATGCCAGGGGAAGCTTTGTGCGCACAAATAGTTAAATTACCCAAACCTGGTAAGGCACCTTTGGCACATTGGCTGAGATGATACATTGCAGCACAGATATCGAAGGTAATGTAGGAGGGGGTAAGGAACATAAAACAGGCCTTTTGCAGACAACATCATGTTATTGCTTGAAAATCCTATGAACTCACTCACTCCATTGTTGTCTATTCTGGAAGAATTTGGTGAAATTTTGTTCTACAAATTAAATGCTGCCAAAATGCAAGCTCTCTCCTTCTTCATACCTTGGTACAAATTAGATATTCTGAAAGATCGTTTGGACTTCAATTGGAGAGACTCTTTTGTTTTATCTGGTCATGAACCCATGCAAGAACCTGTCCAAGATACATTATTATAACCTGGGTAAGGTCTAGTCTGATTTTAGGAACGACTTTGAGAGGTAGTGTAGTCTTGAAATGTCATGGTTAGGTAGGTTTAATTCTGTGAAAATGTCTCTAAGTCCTAAAATGTTATATTTCCCCCCTTCGATTAACTTATAATTTTTTCGAAAGGTTCTCTCTGCTCTCCTGAAATTCATCTGGGATAGAAAACCAACCAGGATTAAATTATCCTTAATACAAAAGCTCAGGGTTAGTGGGGGTGTGGCTTTGCCAGACTTTATTCATTATTATTATGCTACCAATGCAGCGATGGCGCTGAATTTCAAGCAAGAACATGACCGTCCTCTTTGGCTTGAGATGGAGGCTAGCAAACTCTCACCACATTCAATAAAAGGTATCTCATGGTTGCTTGCGTCTCAGCGCACAAGGTTGGCGGATATGTTTCTTATGACCAAAACTACTATTAAAGCATGGATTATATTGTATTGGGAAATCCATCCTTCTGCTGTCTGGTCTAGAGCCACTCCTCTAGCTGTATTAAAATGAATCCTGCCTGAATTAGACATAGAATATTGGTCCTCCCATTCTATTCATTGTATTAACAATTTTATCCTCTACTTTTTTGACGCCCCTGCACATAAATTTAAAAAAATTAGTGAACATTTTGGAATTTCAAACCAGGATCTGAGAAAATTGGAAATGTAAAATTTAGAAAGGGTTTACAGCTCAGATCCTGGCCGGAAACAAACCATCTCCATGTGTTACGCTTTTTTTTTGCAGGTGAAGTAGGCATTAAAATGACATACATGACAAAATGGGAGAGTGATCTGGGAAAGGTACTCACATTGAAAGATTTGGCACACTTCACTACACACATTGAAGGGTATCACGAGCTGCATAAGCCATTTAGAAACCCATTTAAAATTAATTTATCGATGGTACTTTTCTCCATTTAAAATGTTTAGATTACACCTTTCTACTTCTAATTCATGTTGGAGAGGTTGCGGTCAGACAGGCACACGGTATCACATTTTCTGGTCATGTCCAAATGATTAAATTATTGGCAAGACATTCTCGAATTGATCCTATCCATCACAGAGTTTCCTGTTGATCATTCCGCTGGTTTGTGCCTACGTAAATGTTTCCCAGATGACATAGCAGCACACAAAAGAATGTTAGGCCATTTTCTTATCTGAGCTACAACAGTCATTCCAAGATATTGGAAATCTGCTTCTATTCCCTCTGTCAGAAATGTTTTACTGTTACTTTTTGAGAATAAGCGTTGTGAACTTGTTTTTTTGTATACCATCAGCCAATAATGTACTCCTCAGACACGATTGGTCTGAGAAAGCTATAAAGAGTAAGTACAAGCTTAATAGTGTTTCCACCTGAACGAAAACAATCTGCCCATTTATAATTGACTCATTATTTACCATGTTTATACCTTATATATAGTACAAAATATGGAGAGAATACTTAATAGTATAAACATTAAGAATAAACAATTGCTAGGTTGCTATTCAATAATGGTACTCCCCCAGATACCAAAATAACCAATAATTAAATCAAAACAAGAATGCACACCAATAAACAATAAGAAATCTCTATCTATATTTATTAAATCACTAATAAGTATACAATATTCATACAGCAATCAGTGACACAATATAGGCTAAGTATGCAATACTAATACAGCAGTCAGTGACACAATATAGGCTAAAAATAACAAACAATAATAAATATTTACCGCAATACATAAGCCTAATCGGGCAGAAACACAAGTTAAAAAAACAAAACAACGTTTTGGCTCCTCCTGGTAGCCTTTATCAAGGGTGTCTATATCAAACACTCACCCAGAACCCTTTTAAATAGCTGTACCTGCAGCTGATGGCCATCAGTAATAATGTGAAAACCCAAGGCCAGAAGTGACATCATCACCTCCAACCCCGGTTTCACTTACAAAATGCAAAACATAAATGTACATGATATCTACAGTATAAATATCCCATTTAGACCCCATTGGTAATACTCCCAAAGGAAATGTTTCCATACATTGTTAATAAACCATAAATGATTGAAGACAAGTAATTGAATTAAATCAATATCCATATGCATGCGCGATCGACACACTCCACCATATTGTTTAATGGCAATCTGCCCTTATTCTGTATCATACCCGCGCAACGATTTAAGGAAGAAATAAGGCAGAACTAACCTCTGCCTCAAAAGGGATAAACACATAGTACCTCCACATCAATATCTAGCCCATCAAAAATAATGCAGACTACGGATGCCAGTACAACCCAGAATACTGCGTATCACAAAATATTAAATCTCGCGCATGTGCGATTGCTACCAAGAACAAACGCTGATGTAGTCCAATATAGTATATTACGCAAAGCATTAAACCCTGCACATGCGCGATCGGTATAAATCATAATATAACAAACGGAACTCAAAAATATTATTA